AATATGCCTTCCTCTCCCTGTAATGCCTGCATAGCACCTCTAAGCAGGAAGACATGGTTCCTTGGTGACCACAGCTGTCAGGGCTGCCATAAAGGATAAGATCTGAAATCCACCAAGGCCATCACTGCCTTCCTTCCCAGTGGCTAGCAAGAGATGCTTCCAATGAAAATGCAGTGAGACCTGGGATAATCTGATCCATACAGCAGATCTTGTCCCAGTTTCTACTATTTAAGAGCTCTTTTTTTTCTGAAAATTCTTTCCGAAGCTTACCAGCATTATCTGCCACTCCGCCAAGATACTCTTGATAACATATTTGAGACATTTGGTTTCAGCTGGTTCCACACAGCCTCTGAAAAGGTATTCCCTGTTATCAGTTACAAGCCTGCAATCTTTAAAATGCGTTAGCTGCTTGCATATTTTTGTGTAGCAGAAAACCATAAATCCTTGCTCCTCCTTCCTGTGCTGGAACTGATGCAGAGGAACCAGAGGAACTGGTACACAGTAAAAACAAGCATTTCAGAGACCAAAACCTGCATTAATATATCTCTTTTTTAAGTCTATAAAGCACTAGGTATCTCTGTGGTACTACATGAATAACAATAATAAACTGCTCCTGACAGCTCCAGCAAAGGTAAATATAGCACTAAGATCAAGTGCATTTTTTTAAAAAATCATTACTAAAAAAAAATCCTAGCAGAGGTTATCAATTTCATCAACAGAAAAGGCTAAAATTTTTCCTTTCATTAAGAAGAAAAGAAAACAAGAAGCTCTAAATGGAAAAAAAGCTATCTTACAAAGCAAGACTTCGCTCTCCTGGATGCTGTTAAACGACACAGAGAAGATTCTAAGAACATATCCCCTTTTACCATCAAATCTCAGTCCAAAACTGTCATTTCTTCTCGAAAAAAATAAGCATCTCGACTGCAGGAATCAGTAAGTTAAATTCTAAGACCCGTTTAGCGCCAGAGCAGAATGGTCTTTTACAGGCCTTATCTAATTTATCTTTTTCAATTCTTTGAAATAAGCACTCTCCCATTTATATAATTCCTAGCCTTCTACAGGGCTCATTAAGTTTACAGGTACTCTGAAGGCATCTTTTTTCAGACAGTCCAATTTATAGAATATGAACCACTACATTCACGCTTATTGGAAGCACCTATCCCGGGCTGTTTGCTGTTAAAGAGCAAGAATCAGCCCTTGCACATTAAGAGCATTGCTAACCCATGAGATAGCAGAACAAGAGCAATTCTCTTGTCCGGCTTTATCAATCTTGGACAAGGGTCAGGCAAAACATTGTTGATTTTAATTCTTGTCTTCGTTGTTCTACTTTCAGCCCATGAAATAGTGCAAACCATGCCAGAAGAAAGCTATTTAAGTTATGGTTTGCAAAAAGGCTTTCCTTTGAACAGGTATATATGGGTATGGATATTTTCTAGCTGTTAATTTACTTCTGGAGGAAAAAACTAAGTATTAAGATGGTTTAAAAAGAGACTTTCTGCAAAAGGAAAAGCTCAAGCAGTACCGATACAAGCTTTGGCATCATTCCTCCTGGAGACTTGTTCTAGCGTTTTACTATCCAAATTAGCCTCTGGGATTCTTGCACACCCTGAGCATGTGGAAGGGCTCATCTATATGCAGAGCTCAAAGCGCAAACACATTCCACAAGCAAGGGCAGTATCTGGTCCAAACTACGGCTGTAACTCTCAGCTGACACATACACAGCTCACTGCTTCAAATGCCTGCAGCTGTTCCTCCTTTTCACCCTCTGAGACCTCTCTTCCCTTGGTTCACCTTCTTCTGTTTTCTTGGAGAAGCAGTCAAGAGATCAACATGCAAGAATTTCTGCCCACTACTTCAGTAGATGCCAGCCCAGGTGATCATTTTGGACATGCTCAAGCCAAACAGGTACAACAAATGCATTGATGGGCAGACTGCAAATGACTCAATATTTAGGCAAATTCACTGGGCGGTGTACAAAAGCCCCTGAGCATTTGAACCCCATGAACTACTTCAGAAGTTCTGTAGATGCTTCGGTAGGAATATTTGAGCTCCCTTGATTAAATCATCATCCAGACCCACTTCTACCTGAAGAAAAAAAAAAAAAGCTATAGCTGATTTTATTTTAATCAAAGGTTAGTCTCTTACCTGGAAAACTGGAGCTGTTAATCTGATATCCACCTTCCTGGCAGTTGTAACTCACCTCACAATCCATTAGCCTTCAGTATTCAATGGCAGAATAAGACTTTTGTCACACTGGATCTTGGCCACAGCTACTGACTGCTTCCCCAGTTGATTCCTCCCTAGCTACAAAGAAGCAAACAAAAACACAACCTCTCTCTCCCTAGAGCTAAGGGCCAAAGAAAAGTGTGTGTGTGTGGTGGTGGTGGGGGGGGGTTTGAGGGATTTCTGCCTAGCAGATATAAGATTCAAAAGGTAAATTCTCCATTTCAGAGTTCATTAAAACTATGGAGATCTTCAGAGATAGTTTACCCAATTACAGAACAAGAGAATTGGAAGGAAACCCAAGCCACAACAACTGAAGTCCTTTGCACAGTAATAGCTTTCATGTAGCTATTTTGCCAGTTGATTCTCCACCACGCTATTTTCAAAATTTAAGCCTGTTTTAATAAAGGAGCAGGCTGTTTCAATAGAATAGTCTGTGTTCTCATGTCTTCCTAAAACAGAGCTGAAACGTCTCCCAGAGTCTGGGGAAGCAATTTAACATTCCCGTAAAGCAAACAGTACCCAATTCACCCGGAAGAATGTCAACAGTTAAGCGTAAGTTAAACAACCATTTCTAAACTACTCTTTCTAAAGCAAGAAATGCTACTTTACTTCATGGGAAAAACAGCTTCCAGCACTTTGAAAGGGTCATTAAGCTTGCAGGTGTTCTGAGGATGCCTCGTCTCAAGCACGGCAGTGATACAGTATCATACACTGACTTCAAGTTAATTTACCCTTACTGCTTAAATGCTAGCTTAAAGCTTAAAATGGGCAAGAGAGATCATGTCTTATGCTGAGATCTATGAGAATAGGTTGGATTGGCCAAGAGGAATACTTTAAAGTTGCTTTCCTAATAATGCCATTCTGACACTGACAGAGGAAGTAAATATCCACACTGCAAAGGCACCTCAGAAATAGCGTGCTGCGTCAAAGGAGCCAAGAGTTTGTCTCAATACACTAGCCAATGCCATCCAGCACTGGGGGGAAGCGTGTCAGTGCTGAAGTGAGGGTATTATAGTTATGACTTACGTTGTCATTAAAGTAACATTTTCCCTCCATTCTAAGGGAAAGCAGCAAAGATCAGTATTTTCACTGTGGCTAATCCATCTCTCGCAGATTGTTCCTACTCAAGACCTATTCAGAGCAGTTTTGTTGCTGCCTAGAAACCTTTTAATTTCTTTAAATGCAGCCATTTAAAGCACCTTGCTTTGAATTGGCATCTCCGCTTTCCATCTTTTTCATAAGCAGGAAGAACCCTATCATCTTCAAGTCCTCCGTGATGAGGCATCACATTTACCTGCATGTCATTTCAGACAGCTTCCTCCCAAGGCAGCCTGCCTTGGAGTCAGTTGCCTAAAACAGAGGCTTCTAGCATCATTTTCGGTGCCAGACTCCCAGGCGCTGCAACAGAAGGCTGCAAAAATTGACACCCTGGCTCATCCGTGCCAGCACATACGGACAGACATGTCTCGTCACTGAGGCAGCTGATGTGGCACAAGACCCTGATAACCAGGCACCTGGCCCACTCCCTCCATGTCCTTCACAGGCCAGGAAGTCAACATTCATAATCTATCACTCCTTTCCCTTTCTGGAGCATTTTTCCCTTGTAGAAAATATCCCACATCCACCGATCTAACACAGATTTTTTCCTCTCACAGGGCCTGAATGAAGTTTTGGAATGTCTTCTGGCAACCCCAAGTCTGTTACCTGGTCGTTCATCATAAAACATGGCCAAAATGAATATTGATATTGAAGGTGGAAGGTGAGGATCATAATTTGCAACCTGTGGATTTGCAAAAAGAACCACAAAAGGAAATTGCTGAGAAATGATATCCTGAAACACATAAACATTTGAATCCTGAAGAGCAAACATGGGTGAAAATGTAACATAAAGGGGAAAGATTAAGCAGAAAGCTTGGTGAATATTTCCCTGCAATAGCTGTTAAAATCTCTGATGCGGAGGCAGAAATCTCTAGCAAACAACTTGTCAGGCAGACTTCAGTCAATCAGCTCCACAAAGTGAAGAGGATTGCTGGTAGAATTAGGTATAAATGCTATCTTTGTGCATTTATATCTTCCTTGTGCTAACCCTCAGCTAGGCTGGAATTTTCCAATGCAATCAATAGTGTGCTTGATTTCAGATGCTTCTCCGAGATGCTTCAAACCTAAATTCGTCCCAAACTCTTAAACTGAAGCTTCCAAAAAAACAAAAATCTTTGTAAAGGGCTGAAGTCCGATAACAAAAGGACAGGCATGTGGAATCACCAATCACTTTTTAAAAGCTCAGCTTAAGTCCTTCTTTAAAACATGACATACACATAGACATTACTGTTTCTAGCAAATGAAGAAAGTAAACAAAATCTCAGAATATTGTCAGGAGAAGCATGTTATAGGAGCTCCAGTATATCTCATGTGCTGTCACTGGTTTAGTGGCAGTTACTCCATGTGTAGCCCAGTGGCTCATTGCTTTGACTGGTTCATCTGCATATAAAAAAACAAACTACCCTGTCTCATTTGTAGACAGTTTTGAAACAATTGGGCAGTAGAGTTAAAAGCAAGGTGACCCTCACTACACATTACTGTCTTTCAAGTATTTATGACAAAATTTATATTTATATTAAGTATTCATATGAAAGAACTAGACCCCTTATAGCTTTAATAAACAAAACAAAAACAGAAAAACATTTATTTTATATTGTTAGGACTATTGCAAAGCATTAGGTTTATGCTACCATTTCTGAACTCTCCATTTCAATTTCACCCAGCCCTTTATTTACCTTGAATCCCCAAAGGACTAATACTGCCTCTCAATGCTGGCACATGATGGTACCGGTGTGGCCTTGAACTCCTGTACATCCAGTGGTACCTGCCAATTTCCATTTCTGGTCTGGTGATCACTGCCAATTTTAGGTGGTAAAAAGTCAGTGTCACCAGCAAAATTTTTTAGTTCAGTACTTTTAGTCATTTAGCTTAAAAAATAAGAGCCCAGAAAAATACGCTGATGTCTTATAACTGAAACAACATAACTACCAAACCAAGAGAAGGAAAGAAAAAAAAAAAAGACAACCAACAGGGTAATACTGTTACAACTGTCAAAAAAGGCTGAACACTTAAAGCTCCATCTAGGCTTTGAATTAAACACATTGGAAAGGATTCTATTACAGCGGCTGATCATTCCCTCTTCCTTCCCCCCACCCACTCTCACTTCTTCCCCTCTTCTTTCACGGCAAAGAGTTCTGCTCTAGAAATTAAGGAAGATAAAGCTGTGGAAAACACATAACTATTTTTTAAAATAACCTAAATCTAAAACAAAGAAAATGACTGTTATCAGGTGTAGAGATAAGCTCAATACACAAATTTGCTCTGTTAGTTTCTTACACGAAAAAAGCTATGGGCTTATTTTATATAAGCTCTGTTCATTTGCAAAAATCTGGACCAAATATGTTACAATAGACTTATTCCAGGTTTACAATGAATGAGTAGTTATCCTATGAATGAGTATATGATCTCCAGAGGTCCCTTCCAACCTAAACGATTCTGTGATTCTGTGATCCTGCTTCTCCTCGTCTTTTCAAAGTACAGACAAAGTTCAATAGCGACGTATCATGCACAAAATACATTCTGATCTGTAAATTCATCAGCGAAGAACTTCAAAGCTTAAACGCTCCTGAGCTCAATGAAAGAAGCCATTGGCAAAACAACGTCAAACCTCTTCTGCATCAACATTTTCCCCCCTCGGCACTGCTATGGAACTGTCAGCCTGTCAGGGCAAGACAAATCATTATTTAAAATGCATCGAGTCCCACTCCGCAGCAGCTAAATGAAAAAGGAACTGTCATCTCTGGCCAAAATAAATTTGACTTAGCAGCATTCTGGCAGGTGGATGAAGTGAAGGTTACAATGCTAAAAAGGCAATTTATTGTAAACTAGATCAGCAACAAATTTCTTGGCATGGGGGGAGCGGGGGGGAATAGGAATGTCATAAATTTTTGCTCTGCCAGAAGTTAGGAAGTTCTGGACCTGTTCCTTCTTTCATGTTGTTTTTCTACTGCTGAATAGCAAGTTCAGCACAGTACGTTTACACAGGTCGGAAGGGAAGAATCTTGGCCTCCAGTCCAAATATTGGACCTAGTGGTTTGAGACAAGAATTTGTTCATCTCCTGCACTGGTAAATGAAAGCCAATACTAAAACAGTCCTTTGAGTTAATACAAAGAATATCAATGGTTCTTTAAAGGATACTCTGTAGCTTGATATTTTTCCCCCTCTTTGCAGTTCATGCACAAACCATCAAGCAAGGCATCAGGTAGTATATTTTTTCCTAAAATAAATTATTCTACTTTGTATAACTTACACTTCTTTTAGAAAGGGCAAATTCTACATCTCACAAGTACAACCAAATTCAAAACATTTAGCAGGAATCATTCCAGAATGACTGTGCAAGCTCGAGAAAACTTCTGTAATGATTTCATCTCCTCCTGCTAACATAGGAACCATCTTGCTTATGAGATCACAAAAATCACTATAATAATTGGATGTGATACAAAATGGAAAATAACAGAACTGCTTGCTACCTCTCTTGCTACCTCTCCACCTCCTCCTCGCCACAATTAAAGAAAAAAAAAAAAAACAGCTACAAAAAATTCTAGGGAAGAAAATAAATTCTTCACTGGTATTGCAGCAGCATTTCGATGAAGCCCTTGTCATGTGCTACCAAATGGATATTATCCTACCATGCCTGAACCCACAATTCAAGTTTTCTTCTGCAGCAGCTACAAAAACACTGTCGCAAAAGCAGAGCAGGCAGCTGCCTTTCTTCATTAGCCTATGGGGGATGCTCGTGAAGTCACTATCTGCTGTGGGACAAACATCAAATCCTGAAATATGGAGTTAGCATGAAAACTTTGTAGCATCATTTCTGTAAGTGAAAATATTCTGTGAAGTTTGTTTAATTAGACATTTCTGGATTTGCAAGAACAGAATGCCTTTTATTAAAAGATAATTCAGATTCCTTAAGGAATCTCACGGTTCTCCCATTTCTTTGCAAAGAACCATTTAGGAACTGGCTGTTGTACAGTCTTTACTGAATTTCTGAAAGGACCTCTGAAGTCAAAGAAGATCTTTTTGCTCACCTAATTGGGTCTGGCATTGAGATTCATATAGGTCCACTCATGCAAAAATGACAGTCAAGTCAGAAGCCCCACAGGTTTCAGTTGCAGTAACAACTACTGCATACAACATGAAGAAACTAGATTTTAATTCCTCCCCCCTTATATTTAGGAAATGAAGTAAATTTAAATTACTTCATTATATTTTGCTTTTTGAGAGATTAACTGTACAAATCACACTTCTAGGTCTAGTTTATGATACTCTTCAGGTACAGGCAAGCCCATAAACCTCTGTCCATCCCTTCTGGATGTCACGTTTCTGAACCCGGTTGAGCCTGACACTGTAGAGACACAACAGCTACAGGTGACAATGTTTTTATGTCGCACAACACAGGCACGTTGATAGCGATTGTGGTGCTCGATATTCATTGTGGATGGATCATCCTGAAAGCCTGCAATAAAATTCCAGTATCCAACATCCTCATGCTTGCTCTCTTGAGCGTATGGTTTTAGAGGGAACCAACTGTTAAGACTTTCATCTGTCACAGCTGATGAAACAGTGCAACAGTTCATGGAAGCGAGGCGAGGGTTATCATTTGGTCACTTATGATCTGATAATCTGTTGACAAATACTACGCTAGGAGCAAGGCTGGTCAGATAATACGGAAAGGTTACTGCAACTGAATGGGGTTTCCCTGCTCCCTTGCCTCTCTTTTCTCTCCCCTCCTCCAGCACTCCCCTCTTTAAATACTTTGCTCCTCTCTCCCACTGCATTGTCTGTTGTGCATACACAGGGCCATCTGTTTTTCCCCCCCTGCCCCACCCTGTGGCACATATGTCTAGGTTTTCTGCTTTCATGAGGTCATTTAGACAAGTATGAGTACGTTTGCTAAGTGCTCCCCCCACATTTAGAAACCAAATCCTATTCATTAAAAGCTGAATCATTAAAGCCTGCCAAATTATTATCCCTAGAATATAGTGTGTCCCAGATTCTTCCTGGGATGGATCTCTAATGTTCTATTTTTCAGGCACTTAAAGCAGTATTACTTTCAGGAGATCTAAAACACGAACAAACTGTTGGAAATAGGAAGAAAAATATGTAGCACATTAAAAATCTTTAAACAGCTTGACAACTCTGAAATCACTGTGGAAGCCTAACGGTAGGGGACTATGTTTGAAAAATTTGGCTAATAAGCATAATGTGTATGTAAGAAAGATGATTTTTTTTCAGTTTGCTAAAGTGAAAAATATATCTCTCTATGATACATCAAAATGTCCTAAGTTCATTGCATAAAAGAACTTCACTTAGTGATATTAACTGTACCATATCAATTCGCTCCTTTCTCAGTCCACAATTCAGCAATTTGTTATACTATCTCATAGTTATATGACTGTGTTTAACAGAAGTATTTTCTTTCTATTTTTGACTCCTCTGTTTTGTCTATTTAGAGTTTAGAATTTGAAATATCTCTTCATATATTAAGAAAATAATAATCAAAGCTCACAGCCATTCCCAAACATAGAAGCTCCTTCCACCAGGAATAGGTTCTTAGGGAACATTGAGTCAAAATGAACTTTTAGCACTGCTGTTCAGACTGGTTTTCATTATTCCTCAATACTGCATATGCAATTTGAACATTGTATGCATTCATAAAAGGAAACTATATCCTAGTATTATGGCTTTCTTCCATCATGCTTCCATGTGTAATTTCCACGGCCATCCACAGCAATTCTTTTTTTTTTTAATTTTATAACTTGGTAATATTTCTCTTAGTTAAATGAAAAGGGAAACTTCTTGTCTCTGTTAATGCGTATCAGGATCTATATCCTTCATCGCTGATGCAAAACGGCATTTCGTTTTTCTTATTTGTTCCACCTCAGTAAATCTGCCTGCCCAGATCTCACATTTTGATTTAATTTAATGCCTGCGAGATAAACCCTGTCATTTGTAATAATTTGTAAACATTCATCTTTAAAATGCATCCAGTCTGTCCTGCAGCCCTGTAAAGTATCTGCTAAACATGTTGCTTGAGCTCTGCTCATGGTGTTCTCCTCTGATAAGAGCTGCTGATATATAATATAAAGCTGACTTATTTCTCATCTCCATCAGCATGGGTGTTGTTCCTTTTCCAATCAAAAAACTGGGGCAGCAGCCACTCATCCGGGTGCAGAGAAAAAAATGACCGATAAACACGAATCCAACAGCTGGGCAACATTGTTGCCTGAAACAGGCAGGGGAGCTCAAGGAAAAAAAAAAACTTATTAAAATATAAAACTGGAATTATCTACAATTTAGTGAACTTTAGAAATTTACATGAGATTAATCATTTTCATTTATCAATCAGTAAATATTCATAAAGCACAGTAGCTTGTGTAAATTGTCTCAACTATACTGCAGTCCAAACTAGTGGCCTTCCACATCTGCCACAGGTGTAGGAAACACAAACCAGTACCTATGTGATCCCACTATTCAGTTCTGATGCGTTATTAGATGCTTTAACTCTCACTGCTCATCCTAAATAGCTGGGCAGTCGTTCCCTCTAATGTTCTGCTCTGGAGTATGAGGAGCCCTGCACAGAGCAAGTGGTCCTGTCCCACCTCCTTGAGGCATCTATTCTGTACAATTACTGCACATCATTAATGAGGTCCTTGCGTTAAAAAGCACAACCCAAAAGCCTGTAGTTTAAAATTCTGGTAGCAGGAAAAAACTCTTAGCTGAAAAGGACATATGCTAATAGTTAAGTGCAGGTACCTTGTCCAGAACTTAGCAGTGCAAAGCATCCTGTGTATGAATCTGAATATCCAAAGGGAAATTGCTCAGGATCTTTGGTTGTTTAGTATTTGTTTTAGGTTAACACAGTAAGTCAGAGGACCTGCTAAAAAGCAATAACCACATCCCCCAGATTCCCTCTGACTTTGCTCTGTTGCATCTCCTTTGCCTTTGCAATTCATTTCTGGAAGGAAGAGTTAAAATGCTTTAGGACAGATCTTCAGTTGCTTCAAGCTGTCGCAGTTGCCTTCCTGTCACCAGATCTGGGACAACTTTATAAAGGACAACTATCACGCTAAGTTCAGGTGTGATTTCAGAGGAATCAGATGTTACAAGCCTAGCAAACATGCAAGTCATAACAACAAGGAGATCCAGGCTGGACACTGAAAGAACAGACTTTTTGAAGGGGCCAGTTGCCATTTTACAAAGCCAGACAAAGCGGCAACATTTTCCAGGAAGTTTCTTCACACAGAGAAAAAGCCCACTTCTCTGTGAAAGCTGCTGATGAAGAGCCCTTTTGAAGAATCCTGACATTTCACTGGGGTACCTGACGCCTGCTGAGCCCATCTAAAAATCTGACTGAGCTATAAACTCTTAGCACTTTGGAAAATCTGTCCCCTCACCCCAATGCACAAACCTGAATAGGCCTCCTACATTATCACTTCATAGCAGGAACTATGCAAATGGATCGGGATTTGCTGTTGAAATTAAAGCAAAATTGAGTGTTTCAGCTTTCCATATTCTAATGTGCTGTGAAACGTATTTGGAATTTAACTGAATGATAATAAAGGCCATAATGTGAGAGGCCAAGTGTTTCTTTCAGAAATTAAGGAACTGTCAAGAACAATATGCTACAGATATACATCTATGTGACATGTCCAAAGGATAAAATTATCACTGGAAAGCCAGGAAAGTGTGGTAAAATTAAGATATGTAGTTCATCTGTTTGCTTCCTATGAAAATAACAGATCAACTACCGTGACTTGGATAACAGATTTACTGTTCTGGACATTGTCTACATGTTGTGCTTTCATCCTTGCCAAAATAAAAGGGGAAACTATAAACTCATCACAAATACACTCAGTAACTCCTTCTATTTTGCACAGCTGCTAACTCATACAAATAACTTTTTCCGTTTTTACTGTACATGAATTTTATCTGTTTAAAAGACACTCACCAAACAGAAGAAAAAATACTGTAATTTTAAAGAGCTATGAGACCAAGGTGGTTTTATAATCAAGATATTTAGGACATTCTGTACATTAATTACCCAAAAACTGTAGTGAGGTGGATTATTGCCCACATACACTAATGGCTTGCAGAGTTTAATCTCTCATCAGTGGAACTCCTTTTGCAAAATCCTTACGGGATTATGCAGTACTATGTCTAATCACTTGATAAATTTCATTTACTTGAAACTGAAGCTAGCTTTGAATTATACAAAGCATGTAGGAAGAATCAGATTCAAAGTAGGAAAACAAAATCTGGTACTGGACATGTTCATTATGTACATATTTGAATTGTTCAAAAATAAATAAAACAATGCTACCTAGTGAAATATATTAGCTGGGTGTACCTACAAGATTTGCTTATAAATGCTTATAGGGTGTACCTACTCGAATTGCTTATAAATGATACACAGCAGGTTCCAAGATAAACCATGAATCATGTAAAAAGACAGTAGGAATTTTAATAATTTTCTTACTGCTATATAATTTAACCAAAATTATTGCTATGATTTGTACATTAGCCTGATACACAAAAGAAGATCATTTACGTGGCATACATTACATGATGCAGAAACATAAAAGTCCTCTGGTAGCTGAATTTACTCTCAGAAGTTCAGCACTCCAGACCAAATAAATCACCTGAAATGCTGGGATTAATGAAGCACCTCTCCTACTGCACTGCCATTTTCTTATCTCAGAGCAGTTAGCACGGAATTGTTTTTTCCATTAAGTAGCAATTCTGGATGACTGACGTATCCTGAAGCCTAATGTTGCGAAACTCATTGGATTAATCTCCTTTATCACGGCATAGGCAGACCTCTCTATAAACAAAATTTGCCAGACAAAACGATAGAAAATGAAAAGGGATTTAAAATTAAGAGGAGCATTTGGCACCAAGCTAACTACAGGAAGGCTGTGTGATATTATAATCTATCGCGTGTTATTATAACCTAGGTCTCCCACACTGCGTTGCCAAGCTCTGTTACACGGCCAGTCTCAATGAAAATATCACACTGTGGCTCTGAAGAGGATACACACACACACACACACACAAAACACACACACACAGGCACACAATCTCTCTAAATCAAATATACCAAAAAAATCTATCAAAGATGCAGCAATAATAAGGCTTCTTTCGCAAAAATCATTTCTGGTTTGGATAGGAAAGGTTCAGAGCAAACACGCATACAGACAGACAGAAAGATCGCTGCTCTATTAATATGGTGCCAAACCATACAGCAAAGGATCCCTGTAAGCTAGAAGATGCAGTAACGATTGTTTAAGAGCTGTTCTAAAAAGTGACAAAACTGGCCTAAACCTTTTTAAGCACCCTCAATGAAAAGATTTAAACAGGCTATTGTTAGACCTCTGGGTACCTTTTTTCTCTTGGCTTTGTTCTGCATTTTCCTCCGCTGCAGTTTCCATGGCTGGCTTCATACCATCCACCAAAAATGCTTTCCCCCCTCCCCCCCCAGCAAACACTTTTTCTCTTTGCCTCCTTTCTTACTCCCTTCCGTCTCTTATTTACAGCTGCAGTGATTGAGTGGCTCTGTTCTTCACTACAGTAGATTACAGTCCTTTCCAAAATGCAAAAAGTCTTGTCAGCTTCAATTTCGCTCTGCTTACTGGTCCATAAAGATCTGTGCCAGGAAACGTTCAGCCATACGTCACCAAGGACCCCAGTTATAAAATAGCCATTCTGCGTTCGATTGTGTCCCAACTTTCTATGTCGCTGGGACTGGAATAATCAGCGAGCCACCCTTTCCCCTCGCGCCTTCTTCTCGCTCCCTTTCTCTCGCTCTCTCCAAAGACTCCCAATGAATGTTAATCAATTCTCTCGCCGGTGAATGGAGTTGCGACATCAGGAGGGGAGACGCATGTGAGAAAGAAAGGAGCCCCCGTCCGTCGTATGACTCAGCTATGAAGCTAGCCCCCCGCGCGCCGTCTCTAAGGAGAGTGCATGTCAGCGCACAATCGCAGGGCTCTCTTTCCCATGGGACCTTATTATTATGCTTCACGTTTTGATTTATTCCATATGCCCTCTGCTCTCTCAAGGAACTGAGAGGAGGCACTGGGGCCGCTCTGTTTATTTGCTTTCTTTGCAGAGCAAGTTCCGCTCGCACACAGCAAAATCCCCTATAAAGGAAGCATAAAAGTAAGCGCGGGCACATATAGGGAGCATTTAAACTCTTTCTCTTACTAGTACATGCTACGGGGCGGGAGGACAAAAAATCTGACCGAGCAGAAAAGAAATAAGCCTAAGTGACCTGAAATGCACGTGCAACACTTCGAAAGATAAAATGGTTAAGAAAACACGGCTTGGATTTTTAAAAGTATGTCTGCCATTAGAGACCTAAGCCCATGTTTAAAAATGAGTGCATGGTTACTGCTAAACGCATTTGATCACTACCCTAAATCCAGACAGATTTCAGCACAATCTAACTGGCTTTTTTGAACCGGCTCTGCAGGCAACCAAATCTGGACATGCCTCCGTTGCACAGTGCGAGGAGACACCAGGTGTTCCTAAGCCAGCTCTGAGCAGCCCTGTACCACAGAGGCACGGAGCAAGGCAACACCACATAGAGGTGTTATTCAACTTCCAAAACCCACAACAACTGACATATTTAGGGGCACTGTACTGAGGCTCACTAACCTTGCCTACCATTGTGTGTGTCTCAGTGGCCTCACAGTGTGCCACACACAGGGCAGACATGCCCAAAGAGAGCCCTTTTCGTGTTTTGGATGATGGAGCAACTCTGCAAAAATGGATTTAGCCACCTGGCAGGTTTCACTGCCTTGGCTATTGCAGCTGATTTTGCAAACATTGAAGACGCCCAGGGGAGATTCAGCAAACGCTGAGGATGTTAAAACCTACATGCTCCATGTTCCATATAACGGATCCAACTAAAAGAGCGTGAAGACAGAAGTAGTCCATAGATTTGTATCTGCAACGCAGCCTTTTCTGGTTAAAGTTACTACACCCACAGTTTTGTTGTGCAATTTATTTCTATAGATGTCTGATGAAAAGCACCAGAAAACCCAAATCCCACCTTCAGCCAAAGTTCCCTTTGCTTGCAAGAAATCAATACATGCATCTCCGTTCTATTTCTCACAGTCACCACAGCAGCATTTCAGCAGTAATGCCTGGAGCAAAGCAACAAACGCATCATGCTCCAACCTCATTGGGAAGAGGTTTTGGCCTCCTCACTGACCCTAAGATTTCATATCACAGCATCAACAGATCTGATGACAGGCTCATGTCTAAAAAGCTTTCTTAAAGTCCAGGTCAAAGCCTGCAGTGGAAACTGCTATCACAGAAGACTCTTTCACAGGCAGGAGGAAGTTAATACGTGGAGGAGATGAAGCTTCCTCAGGAACCAACATGAGGCAGTGGATTGGGCTCCTGCAGGTGGTTGAATCAGCAGCACTAGCAGAAACCTCAGCACGCAGGTGCAAGGCAGACTTCTCCAAGCTCTTTCTCCAGCACACACATAGCAGCCCACATATTAAAATCCCTACCTAAACAAAACCTTGTACCGCAAACACGATCTCCTTCAAGGAAGAGGCTGAAAGGTGAAATCACAGGCGCCATGTTTATGGTACTGTTTTAAGCATTACTAAAAGGCTTTCAAGGCCTGCAGTCAAAAAGGAAAGAGAACTTCTTTAGATTTGGGGTGATGGTTATGTAAAGAAAATCTACTCTATAAAGCATTTTTGGCATGTAACATTGATAAAATTGAACATACATAGTAAACACTCGCTACTTGCTGCAGCTCACACAAATTTTAGCCATTGGTCACAACAGTTGATTGTTTCTGACATTAAAATCCCTTAAGACTCTTAGAACTTCTCATTATTGTGTCAGCATTTCTACTCACTGCTGTGACAGTCTATACCTTAGGCTAATTTTCTTAATGATTTTTGCTTACTTTAAAAGGTTTAAAAGTTTAAAGAGTTTAAAAGGTTGAAACCTCACTTCTCACTAGCCCAAGTTACAGAAAGCCTGTTCAAAAAGTAATCCAAGGTGGTCTAATATTAATAGATTTATTAATATAAATATATAGAAAATACAAACATCATCTGAAACTTCCCTTCTTTTATATAAAAAATACACTTGACAGATCCTTTCTTTACAAATTGTCCTCAGAGAAAATCTGCTGAAGAATCACTCCATTCTGTTTCCGCAAGAGCTAGTCATTCAAACAACTGTGTATTTTCCTGGTTGCAAGTAGATTTTGTTAGGTGGCCTCAGGATTTTAGAGTAGATGCTTTATTAACACAAAAGTAACAGCAGGAGAGACTACTTTCTCCCAGGATAACCCCCTCCTCAAGCAGCCAATGAGGAAATAAGTATACAATACCGTAAGAAAGCATTAACTGCACACGAACTTGAACTGAAGACTTTGGAAGCCATCGATCCAAACTATTCAAAAGCGTTCATTCTACCTACTAAATCATCCTCTAAAAGCTTTAAGTGATGCATGAGAGTGAAGATCTCTCCCACTTCTCACTGCTTTCCAGATTGCTGGAAAAGATGACGTGTTTTAAGTAGCTACTTATTGTCTTAGGTCATTTCTTAACCTTCTACCTCTGTCCCATTATTAATAAGCATGGCAGATGACAGAATAAACTATACACTATTTCCTCCAGCGCTCCACCAGTGCTGTTCTTGAGCACCTAGTACAGATCTCAGCCAGCGAGTTATCTCATCCAACACTCCCCTTCTTAATCAGATTTATCTAATTATCCTTTTCATAATATGTGAAGAACCAGAGATATCGTATCTCTGCCTACGACAATACGGCGAAAGACAATGCTACAAAGGCAGAAGTAATTTTGTAATTATTCTACTGTCTTAAAAAAAAAAAAAAGGAAAAATATTTTAAATTACAAACAACTATTCAGAGACTGATACTTAACAAAAACCTGTTGTATAGACCAGGCTGATTCAGATAAGCAGGGACCAGGGAAAATGGCTAGTTACATGTCAGGAGTTCAGACCAGCTCTGTTTGCAGATCAAAATAAAAATGAAAATGAGGAGTGGGGCTAAGCAGTGAGGCATCCTGTTGTGAAAGCACATCTCTAAGCCCATGGCCAAAACCCAGGAAGAAAAGCAATTGAGCAGAGTATGTGAGGGCATGGCAGACCAAGTGATATTCATTGCAAAATAGCTTTAAAAAAAGATTTTTAAATCTATTTTATCTAGCTTTTAAAAATTATTTAATTATTTTTCTCAGTCAAGTAAAGTAGATAGCACAAGTTAAAAAAGGTATTACAAATCCAGTTCTGATCACATGCCCATTCCTTTTGAACCGTCTGTCTTTAATGTCATTGAACTGAGTTTACATTCCTGAGGGCTAAGGAGCTCTATCATAAGTTATAGAAAATTCTTTAGAAGCTTTAAGGAGATGAATACACTTTGCCATTTCTACAAAGTCTTCATAGTGCTGTAATAAAGAGGGTTCTCGCACAGTTCAAGAACAATTTGAGATTATCATACCAAATTTGAGACTTTGAAGGTAAAGTTTGGAGACTATCCCTCAAACAAGACTGACATATATTCCAAGTAATTAATTTTCAGGACAGCTTATAGCATACATTTTTAAGGAAATTTCAAGAAAATGAACATGCAGAACATGCAGCCACTTGCTATGTCTCAGCAAAATTGCTTATGTTTAGATCGAGTTTAGACCACTTACCCAGGTGCGAGTAAAAAATCCCATTCTGAAAGCTTATGCAAAAGTAGGGGAATTTTTTAATGTGGATAAATTCAAAGCGAGACAACATGCTTTCAGCTGTGCAGCAGTCAGGTACCTGTGAAATGCTTCAAAAAAACCCTGGGCCCCATTCTTTCAGACATACTAAATTGCTCGGAAAATGAAATCCTAAGTAATAACCTCATGAATGAATAACAGTAGAAAAACTGCACTTTTAACACAATACAAGATACAAACCACTACAAAATATGAGTGTGCATTTTGTTTAGGGATCTCAGTTTTGGATTTTTCTGCAAACGGCAAAACTAAAGGCTTAAGCATGGATAGTATTATCTCTTCAATCAAAGGAAATGACTGAGTTAGCTGAGGCAGGTAGTTCAGGAGGGTGAGCAGACCTTAAATGTGTAAAGGTGCCAGTTCTGGGACCTTCTTAATAAAGCCATGTGAAGGTAGCAATAACTGCTGCCAGAATATCTGTGCTGCCAGAATATCACAATATCTGTGAAGATAAGTGCCTGGCTACAAGCAGGCAGCAAAGCAGATATCATTCATGTGTTAGGTTTCATATGTTTCCCTGCCCGGTCTACTAGCTTCCAGTTGGACCACAGTGCATCACAGTTGCAGTGGTTTTTTTGTTTGTTTATTTATGTGTGTGTATGTGTGTGTTTTTTCTGAAAGGGACAAATAAACATAAAGCATTTTCTAAGAACTGCCTGCACAGGCATAACGTTTATTCCTAGTGAAAGAACAGTTGAAGAAACAGTTCACATCTCAGACCAAATCCTGCTGCCTTTGCACATCAGAGGTTCCCATTAAACTAAAAAAACCGAAAAACAATCATTTTCACGCACAGGTGTCTCCTGTGTTCATATTTATGCTCCTAATAGCAGGCCACTTGCAAAAGCCACATTTTGGAGGGCCTAATACAGGCTGAAAACACAAAATGGGAGGAAAGCCAGGGACTTCAAAAGTTTAATGAAGACTCCCTCTTGCTCTTAACCTAATATAATATTCCTAAGATAGCAAAACTATAAACATAAATATCTTTATAGGAAAACTTTGGGTAGTTGGCTGTATTTAATGAGAAAACAGCTTTGGCCACTGGAAAGAATCATACGCACTAAACAGCCTGAATCCAGAACATACACAGATGGTTAACCTTTATTTGGTAT